AGGGACAAACAAGTCCCCTATATGATAGTATGGGCATGTGACAGGTTCTCCTTATGGAGGAATAGCTGAAGCTGAAGGACAGACCAGGGCTCCGTTTAATAAGATGTTTTGGAGGACAGAGGGGAGTTATGGGGTCTAATAAAACCAAGATCTCTCCGTAAAGAGGGCCTGCCACTGCCCATGCTATCACAAGGGATGTTTTCCCCCCAATCCATCCCTTGTGATAGCAATTAAAGTGATAAAAAATTAAAGATATGGTGTAAAAATAAATAAATATTTTTTAAAAAATTATAGCACCAGAAATCCTGTGTAACTCTAAACTGTCAACCTGTAAAGGCTTTTAAAGAGTCACCTATGGAGATTTTTAGGTACTGTATTTTGGCGCAGTTTCACAAGCATAAGCAGTTTTAAAGCATGACATGTTTGCTATCTATTCACTCAGCATCATCTTTCACATTATACCAAACAATTGGGTATTATATGGGTATTATGTTTTTGTGCATTAAAATTCAAAAAATGTTTTCTTTTTTTCCAAAACTTTGCACAATTATTGTGCGACATAAAAATACAACACACATCATATTGTTCTCTAGGGTCTCTGCATTAAAAAATATATAATGTTTGGGGTTGTAAGTAGTTTTCTAGTAAAACAAAATGATGTTTATTACATGTAAGAGAGGAATGTCAGACTTTGCCCAGGCTGCAAATAGATAACAGTAGTAAAAAGTTTGAGCTCAGAACATGGAGAGAACAAGAGGTGCTAATACCCATACAAGAGTAGTCCCACAGGTAGCAAAAAAATACAGGAGAATCTCCATAATAAGGAGGAGACGCTCCACAGACCTGTGACAGGTATATCTCCAGAAGGAGGAGGCCATACCCAGAGCTGTGGAAAAGACTCCAGAGTGGACAGCAAGCAGCACAACTGCTGAGCACACAGGCTCATTTCTCTCTGATATGTGTGCAGTGGCAACTACCTGATTTTTATACTATATACATATATATATATATATAAAGGTGAGGCGAATAGTGGTTCCCCCAGTGACTACTTATGTGAGTTTACTATCATAGTAGGAGTGGTTACACTGGTACTTATAACATGTTTACATATAGCGTGCTAGTGTATACTACAGTGAAGCGGATACCCATTTCGGAGGTTGATTTTAGGCAACATGGTATGTTTATGGTTTTATTTTTGTGAGAGTGAATAAAACTGTTTTCTATAGGAATGACACTCCAAATTGAATTTTTTAGAATAAGTACTGTAGGTAGTAGTTTTTCTCTTTAATATTGAAGGTAATTATTGTTAGGGTTTTCTGTGGCAATCGATAAAACAGGGAGGATTGCGGGTGTAACAATTTATAATTTGCAAATATATGTTTTTTTGTTAACTCAAAACAGTTTTAGCTTTTATATTTTGTAGGCGTTTAGTAGGAATTTTGTATATTATGTCCATGGCAATGGTACAGTGTAGGGTCCTATTTACAGAGCAAAAAAACAGAAGAAGAAGAAGAGAAAGCATGCAGCAACTACTCCTGGAAGGGGAAGTGCATGTTTTATATTTAAGGAGGTGCATAGGTATGAGATAATGGCTAATAAAAGGACCAATGTAATCCTCCTATTTTAAGCCTATTCCAGGAACTGAGCTTAGACAGTCCAAGGGGAAGGTCAGTTGAACAGAGAGATGAGAGCAAGAGAAAAAAAGAGGGTAGAATGGGGGGAGACGGTGGAGAGAGGAGGAAGGCAGGAGTAAAAAACAAGAAAAAAAGGGTAAGAGAATATGAAGAGATGCTCTAAAGGCCAGGAGGTCCCACTGGCAGAAATCCCCCCCCCCCCCCCCCCCCCCCAAGCTCCATCCTATAAAGAGAACACAAAGTTATTAGAGTCAAATCAAGGATATTGTAAAGGGAAGGAAGGTTGGCTAACGGTGGCGAGCATATCATGAGGTGTTGTAACTATTGGTTGTTTTAAAATGAAGTCAGCAGGCCCAAGTGGATGTACATTTGGAAGGGGAGTCTTTTTGCAAATGAGTTCCTCCATATCAGCGACTTTGTGTAGGCGGGTAAACCATTCTGTCATGGAGAGATGAGAGACGGGGTCATGCCCCAATGAACAAATATACACATCTAAGTAGCATTTACCATTTGATTTAAAATAAGCTTCATGAGAAAAGAGGTGTGATGGATCAGATATTGTGCTGGAGTAAACTCCAGGGTATAAGTCGTCACCTGGAAGATGAAAGATTGCACTCTGGACCAAAAGAGTTGAAACAGCGGGCAATTCCAACAGATGTGCAATGTGCCAATATCTTGATGGCAGAGCCAGCAGTGGTTAGAGAGGGTCAAGTTAAATGTATGGAGCAGGACAGGTGTCCAATATCATCTGGACAAGAGTTTGTAGTTATTTTCTTGGATCAAGGCATTAATGAACCCTTTGTAGACTTTGTGGTTTATCAGAAAGTTATGAAACGCTTGTCACAGCACTTGATGCACATCCAGAGGATGAACTGACATTGAAATATGTTAAGGGCAAGCTTGTGGATGAATAACAGCATGAAACAAACCCATTAATAGTGACAGTGCCTCTGTCGCAGAGTCTGCTTTAAAGACGAAAATAGGAATAAAAACAGTAACAAGGAACAAAAAACACGTGAATGCTTTGTGTGCAAGAAACATGGTCATTTAAAAGGAGATTGCAGAATCTGGAAAGCTAGAATGCAAACACAAACTAAACTAATAAAGGCCAAAAATGTGAATGAAGAAACTGAAACTGATATAATGAATTAGTTTTTCAATCCAAAAGTTTCACCTCCCTCATCTTTTCAAGCATGGTGTGTTGATTCTGGAGCTACAAGCCACATGCCAAATTACAGAAATTTCTTTATTCACCTTGGCCAGAGAAAAACAGAAAAAATCACCACAGCTGATGTGCAAAATAATGGAATCAGAAGGAATAGGATACTTTTTTTTACTGTCACCCCAGAATGTCACCAGAAAGATACCTGTGAAAAATGATCTGTATGTCCCTGCTTTTGAAACTAATCATTTGTCAGTGAAGAAGCTTGCAAGGCAAAACAAGGCAATGTAGTGAATTTCCAAGGTGACAGTTGTGCCATTACAAAAGGCAATATCTTACTTGCAAAGCCTAAACTTACAGATATACTGTATCAGCTGAACTGCAATGAGGTGGTTAATACTGCTAAGGAGGAAAAACATTTAAACTGCATTCACACATGGCACAGACAACTTGGGCACAGAAGTACTGACATAAAAAAAAAAAAATTAACTGAGAATGACTATGCAAATGAAATAAAAATGAGTCCATGTGATCAAACAATGCAATGCACCAGTTGTATAAAAGGAAATATTATATAAGAAAAGCCTTTCCAAAGCAGAGCAACAGCAGAAAAAAAATCTCTGGAACCAATTCATTCATATTTTTGTAGTCCAATGGAAAAATTGACTCCAGGAAAGAAGAAGTGTTTTCTCACTTTTATAGATGATTACTCCAGGTAAACGACACTATATCTGCTACAACAAAGTGAAGTACCAGAGAAACGTGAGTAGTATTTGACCCAAGTACACAACACATTTGGCAAAATGCAGAGTGTATTGTTCACAGTTTCATATACAGGTGATAATAAACAGGCAATTCTCAGAAAGCATTGCACAGTATTTCAAACTACTGTACCCTGGACAAAACAGGGCTGCGGAAAGAATGAACGGCACTCTAAGTGAGAGCAGAAGAACCATGATGTTTGATACAGATATGCCAAACACATACTGGGAGGAGGCAATTATGACAGCCTACTATCTCCAAAATTGACTACTAGGAAAATCAACTGAGAAGACTCCATGAACTGTGGAATGGAAAGGCTCCAAATTTAAACCACCCAAAAACATTTGGAAGTAAAGCCTATGTGCACATCCCAAAGGAAAAATGTGTAAAAGGGGATGCTCACACAAAGAAAGTTGTACTTTTGGGGTACAGTGAATCTCAAATGGGATAAAGAATTCTACATCAAGACACAAGCAAGGTAACCATTAGTAGATGTGTAATTTTCAATGAAACTTTAGTGTGCTTACAGTTTTATGCACTTATGAAAATGCATCAAACTCCAAATTCCACATCAGTATCACATGCAGATAAGCAACAAAGTGACACAGAAATAGAAATGAATGCAGATAATCCAAATACTGTAAAAGAAGAAACCAGGCCACAAGAGGCTTTAATCAGGAAATCCACCAGAAGCAATATATTTCCTGTTTCCTTGTTGCAGTAAAGTACAAAAAAAAGTGAACTCTGCACAGTTCTGTAGGGCTATACATAATTTCTAACATTTCTTCCAGAAAATATATAGTTTGAAGAGGCCTTATCAAACTCAGAAAGATGTAAGGGAAAATAAAGAAGGGGAAAATTGCAAAAATGGTCTGGCCACCTGAGTTTAAAAGTGGAGCATGAACCTGACAACAAAAGGGTTAAGAGATTCTTATAAGGAAATATTTGCCCTATGAAAGTGCCCAGAAATCTATACAGTTTTTTTTCTAAGCTGGCAAATGAAAAAAGTCAGAAAAAAAAGATTTATCTCCCATAGCCTTAAAGGCTAAGTTCACTTTTTTTAAACAAATAATAAATGCACATATTTTTACAGGTAAAAATGAGCAATTAATATTTTTTTTTCTGGCACCTGCAGAGCATTACACATGTGATCAGCAGATTGTGTGTGCAATGTCAGGCTCCTGCACAATCTCATTATAGCTGTCTGCCCCTACCTTTCTTATGTAAAGACTAGAGATGAGCGAATTATTCAAAAATTCGATTCGGCTGATTCGGTGAATTCGCGGAATAAATTTGATTCGAGTAGAATATATTCGCTGCGAATTTAACTTATAAAAAGGGTGTTTCTAGGCTTCAGAGAGACTTTATATTAGTGCAGAACACTGTACCTTTAATTTAAATGCCCTTGGAGTCTGCTGGGGAAGAGAAATAATACTGTCAGTCAGTATGACATGCAGATGAGTGCCGTCGATCTTAGAATCACCGCACACTTCACTCATTTGGGCAGTCACGGGGCCAAAACCAGAGTGTGGAGCCACAGTGTGGCGGTGGAGGCAGCAGCAATGGGAGGCCATACAGCACCCTATGAAAAAATGGAACCCACCAGCAGTGTGAGGAGACCTGAAAGTGGCACATGGCAGAGTGTGGCGATGGAGTCAGCAGCAATGGGAGGCCGTACAGGGACCCATGACACACTCTGGACCTGGCAGCAGCATGAGGAGGCGGTACAGGGGCCCATGACAGATTATGGGCCTGGCAGCAGCATGAGGAGTCGGTACAGGGGGCCCATGGCAGATTACGGGCCTGGCAGCAGCAATGGGAGGCCCGTAATCTGCCAGCACCCTATGACAAAATGGAACCCACCAGCAGTGTGAGGAGACCTGAAAGTGGCACATGGCAGAGTGTGGCGATGGAGACAGCAGCAATGGGAGGCCGTACAGGGACCCATGACACACTCTGGACCTGGCAGCAGCATGAGGAGGCGGTACAGGGGCCCATGACAGATTACGGGCCTGGCAACAGCATGAGGAGTCGGTACGGGGGCCCATGGCAGATTACGGGCCTGGCAGCAGCAATGGGAGGCCCGTAATCTGCCAGCACCCTATGACAAAATGGAACCCACCAGCAGTGTGAGGAGACCTGAAAGTGGCACATGGCAGAGTGTGGCGATGGAGACAGCAGCAATGGGAGGCCGTACAGGGACCCATGACACACTCTGGACCTGGCAGCAGCATGAGGAGGCGGTTCAGGGGCCCATGACAGAATACGGGCCTGGCAGCAGCATGAGGAGTCGGTATGGGGGCCCATGGCAGATTACGGGCCTGGCAGCAGCAATGGGAGGCCCGTAATCTGCCAGCACCCTATGACAAAATGGAACCCACCAGCAGTGTGAGGAGACCTGAAAGTGGCACATGGCAGAGTGTGGCGATGGAGACAGCAGCAATGGGAGGCCGTACAGGGACCCATGACACACTCTGGACCTGGCAGCAGCAAGAGGAGGCGGTACAGGGGCCCATGGCAGAGTGGCGAAGCGTAAGCAGCTTAAATTGAAGGCCATACAGAGGCCTATGTTAAAAATAATAACATGTTTGGGGCATGATTCATGGCGGATTTAGTCAGTTGTGTCAGGTGGTTTGAAATCCAGACTAATCCACGCCTGATTCATTTTCACAAACGTGAGTCTCTCCACACTTTGGGTGGACAGTCGTGTCCTCCGCGGAGTTACAATACCTCCTGCCGCACTAAACACGCGCTCCGATGCCACGCTACTGGCCGGGCATGACAGCCTTTCAAGGGCAAATTCAGCTAGTTGGGGCCAAAGGTCAAGTTTCGTTGCCCAGTAGTCAAGGGAATTGTCTACCTCGGTTGGCAGGGTGCTGTCCAAGTAGGCCCAAGCCTGTTGTTTGAGGTCCTGCTCCAGGTCCACCTGATGCTGCTGCTGCTGCTGCGGCTGGTTAGTAGTTTCCTCACTGCGCTGGTGAAGAAAGCTACTCATCATCGACTACAGACTGAGGCAGCCGCTGCTGGTGGAGCTGCCACTGCTCCTACCACCCCACCCCTCCCCTGCTGCCATGGCAGTGGAACGCAAGCGCACAGGGCCCACAGTGTCTGAGGATGGACGTTGGCGCAGAAAGGCAGAGACCAACTGACTACATAGGTGGTTTTTATAGTACGTTATTTTGGCCTCCCTCTCAGCAGGTGTGAAAAAGGCCACCATTTTTGAACGGTAGCGAGGGTCCAACAAGGTGGACAGCCAAAAGTCATCCCTCTGTCTGATGGTTATTATTCGGCTGTCGCTACGCAAGCAACCGAGCATGCTATGGGCCATTTGTGCAAAGGAATGCGAGGGACTCCCTGCCTCCATCTCCACAGCATACTGCCACGGTGCGTCTGGGTCCTCTGTCTCCTCCTCCTCCTCTACCAGATGCTCCTGCTCCTCCACTCCTGTCCGCTGAGTGGAAAAACCACCCATTTCACTCAATAATACCTGAGCACCAATGTCCTCCTCTACCTCCTCCTCTTCTTCCTGTCCTGCCCCCACAGGGGTCATGTGGCGTTGAGATCTGTGCGCCACGTCTACCGCACCCTGACCAGCCATTGTTAACAGCATTTGTTCCAGGACGTGCAACAGAGGAATGACGTCGTTCATCCCATAGTCCTGCCGACTCACGAATAGCGTGGCCTCCTCAAAGGGCCTGAGCAAGCGGCAGGTGTCACACATGAGCTGCCAATGGCTGACATCTAAGTTACACAGGGGAGTACCTTTATCCGCTTGTAACATCAGGAAATCGGTGATGGCCTTTCGCTGTTCGTAAAGGCGGTCTAACATATGTAGGGTTGAATTCCACCTTGTTGCAACGTCACAGCATGAGGAGTCGGTACGGGGGCCCATGGCAGATTACGGACCTGGCAGCAGCAATGGGGGGCCCGTAATCTGCCAGCACCCTATGACAAAATGGAACCCACCAGCAGTGTGAGGAGACCTGAAAGTGGCACATGGCAGAGTGTGGCGATGGAGACAGCAGCAATGGGAGGCCGTACAGGGACCCATGACACACTCTGGACCTGGCAGCAGCATGAGGTGGCGGTACAGGGGCCCATGACAGATTACGGGCCTGGCAGCAGCATGAGGAGTCGGTACGGGGGCCCATGGCAGATTACGGGCCTGGCAGCAGCAATGGGAGGCCCGTAATCTGCCAGCACCCTATGACAAAATGGAACCCACCAGCAGTGTGAGGAGACCTGAAAGTGGCACATGGCAGAGTGTGGCGATGGAGACAGCAGCAATGGGAGGCCGTACAGGGACCCATGACACACTCTGGACCTGGCAGCAGCATGAGGAGGCGGTACAGGGGCCCATGACAGATTACGGGCCTGGCAGCAGCAATGGGAGGCCCGTAATCTGCCAGCACCCTATGACAAAATGGAACCCACCAGCAGTGTGAGGAGACCTGAAAGTGGCACATGGCAGAGTGTGGCGATGGAGACAGCAGCAATGGGAGGCCGTACAGGGACCCATGACACACTCTGGACCTGGCAGCAGCATGAGGAGGCGGTACAGGGGCCCATGACAGAATACGGGCCTGGCAGCAGCATGAGGAGTTGGTACGGGGGCCCATGGCAGATTACGGGCCTGGCAGCAGCAATGGGAGGCCCGTAATCTGCCAGCACCCTATGACAAAATGGAACCCACCAGCAGTGTGAGGAGACCTGAAAGTGGCACATGGCAGAGTGTGGCGATGGAGACAGCAGCAATGGGAGGCCGTACAGGGACCCATGACACACTCTGGACCTGGCAGCAGCATGAGGAGGCGGTACAGGGGCCCATGACAGATTACGGGCCTGGCAGCAGCATGAGGAGTCGGAACGGGGGCCCATGGCAGATTACGGGCCTGGCAGATGACGACGAGGCTGCCAAGTGCGATCAGCCTCATCATCATCAATTAGGGTCTCCACCTCACTACTAGCCCCCTCGGCTGCGTGTGGGTCAGGAGACAGACCTGTCTCTAGACCGGCTACCGAGCCACTCTCCTCGCCAGTACTTCTTCGCCTGGCTGCTGAAGAGGCGGATGTCTCCCCCCGTTCCTGACCGCCCTCTGTTAGCTCTTCCTCACTGTACAGTGGGGCTGAGCCCACAGCATGCGATACTTCGCTTGGTGAGGGAACACCAAAGGACAGGGGCAGGTAGAGGACACGTGATTTCAGTGGGCTTGCTCCCGGGCCATGCCAACTAATGGTTGTGTCTGACGTACCCACCGACCGTTGGCTGTAGGTGTCAGAGGTGACCTGGGAAGAGGAAGACGACCGAGCCAACCAATCGATGACGGCAGGGTTGTCGGTGGAGACACGACCGCTGGATGACACCGGGAGCACTGGCCTCTGGCTGCGACTAGTGCTGCCTCGACCCCTTCCTCTGCTGCCACGTCTGCTCACTCTCCTGAAACATTGCCTCCTCTGCCACTCCTCTGCGTGTTGTCTGACATACTCTTTAATTCAACGATTCTGTGTCCCTGAGTAACGATTCTGTGTCCCTGAGTAACAATTCTGTGTCCCTGAGTAACGATTCTGTGTCCCTGAGTAACAATTCTGTGTCCCTGAGTAACAATTCTGTGTCCCTCAGTAACGATTCTGTGTCCTTCAGTAACAATTCTGTGTCCCTCAGTAACAATTCTGTGTCCCTGAGTAACAATTCTGTGTCCCTGAGTAAAAATTCTGTGTCCCTGAGTAACAATTCTGTGTCCCTGAGTAACGATTCTGTGTCCCTGAGTAACGATTCTGTGTCCCTGAGTAACAATTCTGTGTCCCTGAGTAACAATTCTGTGCCTGTCCCTGAGTAACGATTCTGTGTCCCTGAGTAACGATTCTGTGTCCCTAAGTAACGATTCTGTGTCCCTGAGTAACGATTCTGTGTCCCTGAGTAACGATTCTGTGTCCCTCAGTAACAATTCTGTGTCCCTGAGTAACAATTCTGTGTCCCTGAGTAACGATTCTGTGTCCCTGAGTAACGATTCTGTGTCCCTCAGTAACAATTCTGTGTCCCTCAGTAACAATTCTGTGTCCCTGAGTAACAATTCTGTGTCTGTCCCTGAGTAACAATTCTGTGTCCTTGAGTAACAATTCTGTGTCCCTGAGTAACGATTCTGTGTCCCTCAGTAACAATTATGTGTCCCTGAGTAACAATTCTGTGTCCCTGAGTAACAATTCTGTGTCCCTGAGTAACGATTCTGTGTCCCTCAGTAACAATTCTGTGTCCCTGAGTAACAATTCTGTGTCCCTGAGTAACAATTCTGTGTCCCTGAGTAACAATTCTGTGTCCCTGAGTAACGATTCTGTGTCCCTCATTAACAATTCTGTGTGCCTGAGTAACAATTCTGTGTCCCTGAGTAACAATTCTGTGTCTGTCCCTGAGTAACAATTCTGTGTCCCTGAGTAACAATTCTGTGTCCCTGAGTAACAATTCTGTGTCCCTCAGTAACAATTCTGTGTCCCTGAGTAACAATTCTGTGTTCCTGAGTAACAATTCTGTGTCTGTCCCTGAGTAACAATTCTGTGTCCCTGAGTAACAATTCTGTGTCCCTGAGTAAAAATTCTGTGTCCCTGAGTAACAATTCTGTGTCCCTGAGTAACAATTCTGTGTCCCTCAGTAACGATTCTGTGTCCCTCAGTAACAACTCTGTGTCCCTGAGTAAAAATTCTGTGTCCCTGAGTAACAATTCTGTGTCTGTCCCTGAGTAACAATTCTGTGTCCCTGAGTAACAATTCTGTGTCCCTAAGTAACGATTCTGTGGCCCTAAAGTCTCTCTGGCCCTAACTCTGTCCCTAATACAGACAGGTCTGTCTCTCAGTGCTGGCTGGCTGGCTGCTGATTGGCTAATGCGATCACATGTCATGAATGAATGCATTATGGGTCAGCGCGCCTTGTCTGCGCGCCTTCCCAGAGATCCCCGCTCCGTCGCCACACATGTCGCCGCCATTTTGGGAAAATTCGATTCGCGCATCCGAAGTTTGCTAATTTTCGGATTCGGCGCGAATTGAATTTTTCCTGATCTTTGAAACGAATTCCACTTCGCCATGTTCGATTCGCTCATCTCTAGTAAAGACAATTACTGGAGAGCATGAAGATCAATGAATGATGACAGCGCTCACCAGTGCGGTTCATTGAGAACTATAAGATGTCTTCTCCTGAAATGGCTGGTGGTAGTTGTTCATTCATTTACAGAACTCCCTGATGGTTTCCCACATGGACACATTGTTTTTTAAATTGGGTGCAAGGAGGGGGGGCAAGTGCTCCTTGGTAACATGTTACATGTTAACCCCTAAATATGGGTGTAACACATAGCATGTTACCAAAGGTGAACTTAAATGGGAGTCAACGCTATGTTCAGGGTTTATGGTCATCCTGCTGGGTCTGTGGAAGTGAACTTTCACTGGCTCACTCACTCGAATCCCAATTTATGATTATGGAACAGTGAACTAGAAAAAAAAAATCAAGATTGTTGCTCTAATCTTGACTTATGTTTAAAACAACAAAATATGTATATATATTCAGAAGCTAGCAAATTAAATCAACTTGTCAGGGAGAAATTAAGAGACTGCTCATTAGTTTCTAAAATTAACTGGAATAAAATGTTAAATATGATCTGAGAAGAAGTTATAGCAAACAGCTGGTTTTCTTCAAATAGTTTAAATTCCGAAAGCATATGTCAAAGTATTAGTTAATAGTTAATGAATGAAATAGAGCAAATTGTAATGAAACATCCATATCATTCAGACTTGCAGCAAAATCATAGGACTCTTTCTCTTGTTCTAACACATGCATAAATGGTTGTTCCTTCTTTTATAAACAGACATTTCCCTACAGAAACCAAAGTTCATAATTTATACCCATGTATATAGTATCAGGGCCAATTTTCTTCTGGGGTGTTTTTCTTTTTTAAAGGAGGGCTCTACATCAGCATACTAATAAAACTTGCACAATGTTTTATCTGTACTCATAAATATAGCTTCACTTTGGAGCTGCTACGGAGGGGCTGTATAGTGGTGTGATATTTTTTATGTGGCTGGATTTTCAGGTTGATTATTGTCTTGTTATATCATATTTGACATGGAAATATTTATTGGCAGGGTCTGACTGGTGAACTAGAGGACTGCATTGTGCACAAGTTAAACCTTAGCTTATTTATTTCCTACCAGCCCCTTCCTGGGCAGTCCCACCCAAAAGCCAGCACATCAAAACAACAAAATTATGTGATATATTACTCTGTACTACATTACTATGTTGGCTCCTGAATCTGTTCACCTTAGTGAAATGCAAAATGCAAAATGAAAAAAAAACAAACATTAAAACAACTAGTATTATAATACACATAAAGTACTCATTTTGTTCTGTAATTTTGTAAACTAGTAAAAGGCTTGGCCTACCTAATAGTTCATTGTAATGGTTGTGCGCATTAGGCACAAGGAAGCTGTAGGCGACCTCCATCTTGTTTAGGTCACATCTATTTTTGTCATGAGAAGAGACATAGCCCAGTTATCTTACTCCCTCCCTCCTCTTGCAATCCATGGAATTCATAGCTTTAACTTTTAACACACTTCAAAAGAGCCTGTTATCTCAACTTAGAGACAGCAGACCCCAGCACACATGCCTTTGCCAGAGCTATAAATAGCTAATTGAACTCATGACAGGATGTCTGTTAGTTTCCATTGACCATAAAAAAATTTACAGATTAACACTTCTCTCTGACCTATCAGTTCTGTCAACCATGGTTTGTAGGGCAATTAAAGCACTAGGAACACATAGCGTGCCATAAAATGAGAATTGTAAAGCAGTAAGACTTGCAGTGACCTTGTGGAGACCCTATGCCTGCCCAACTCACCATTTCAAAACTACACACAATTCATAAAATCAGACAGGACCAAGACACACCAATATTAAATATATATTTAAATGGGGAATATAATACTGAACAAATCAAAATCATACATGGCTACGCTATAGTATACAGAAGGTTAGATAGCAGTCAAATAGTTCCTTGGTGACATCCAAAATATTCTGTGTTTGGTATCCCTGAACATGAAATATAATGTTGAACTATAATCTAACAGTTTCCAGAATGCAACCTGTACATATTGGAAGATATTAATATTAGTATAAAGCTGCGTGTAAGGGAGGGCCATGAGAAAGTCATAAACATGGTGACACCCCCATGGCTACTCCTCAGCTGCTTAATTGGTCAGATGGTCTCCATCAACACCCCTTTGATACCACAGAAAAAGGGAATGCCAGGGCATTTTGAAGAGCTCTCATGTGCCATCAACCAAGGAAAATCTGTTACGTTATATGGGAGCCGATAACAACTTGCTTACCCTTGACTGAACTCTGCTAAAACCAAGGACTTTGCAAGTATTTACCTATTTTCACCTCTTGCCTTGCTGTTCCTTTTTTCTTTATTACTTTATAATATAT